AGGAGTTCAAGACCAGCCTGACCAACATAGTGAAACCATGTGTCTACTGAAAATAGTAAAAATTAGCTGGGTGTGGTGGTGAACACCTGTAATCTCAGCTACTGGGGAGGCTGAGGCAGTAGAATCACTGGAACCTGGGAGGCGGAGATTGCAGTGAGCCGAGATTGCACCACTGCACTCCAGCCTGAGCAACAGACTGAGACTTCATCACAAACAAACAAACAAAAAAGTTCACTGTAGCCTCAACCCCCTGGGCTCAAATGATCCTCCTACCTCAGCCTCCCAGTAGCTGGGACTACATGCATGCACCACTATGCCTGGCTAATTTTTCACTTTTTACAGAGAACAGGGTCTTGCTATGTTGCCCAGGCTGGTCTCAAGCAATCCTCCTGCCTTGGCCTCTCAAAGTTCTGGGATTACAGGAATGAGTCACCATGTCCAGCCATTCACTAGCTTTTCTAGGCTCCTTGATAGCAAAGCTTTGTTCATCTTATTCAGTGTTTTCTCTCTAGCAACTAGTAAAGTATTAAGTACTCAATAAATTTAGCTTTTTTCATTTAGAGAACTCGGACAGGGTCATAAGTAAAATTGAAAAAAGACCACTGTTTTACTAAGATACACAGTATACTTCTCTTTTCAGTTTCAAGATTTAAATCCTAAAATGTGCAAAGGCCTGGTTCAAACCTATGGGTCTCAGTTTTCTCCGGTGTCATGAAAAGGGGTCAGACTAAATGATTCCCCATTCCATTAGAGTTCTAGAAGCTGCAGTTACCTAGTAGTCAGTGGTTGTTTTTTTTGACTTATCCGATGCCATCAGCTCCAAGGAAAGAGACAAAGTGGAGGTTTTATGCTTCCAACTTAAAGATCAAATGCTGATTTTCCCATGAGATAAGAATTCTATTTTTTCTCTCAACTCCTTTTCTCTGTTAACATTTTCTTTGCAATATCACACTGTATTCCAATACTCCATGCTGATGGCAGCTAACCATTTCAATAGGATTTTTGTTTTCAATATTCGAGATACCGGTTGGGATATAACACCAGTGATTCTCAATCTCTTGTGTACCCAGTCACCTGACGGATATATACATACATTCGTCAATAACTTTGACTCAGCTTAGGGGATGGGAGGGCACACTTGTAGAAAATTCTCCAGTGTTTTTGTCACTGACATTCATACCCTGTTGAGAATCACTGGTATAAGTTATTCAGCCACATCCCCCAGCTACTGAAGCCACAAAACATATGGAACAAAGGATTGCCAAGAAACCACTTTTTACCTGATATGATTTTTGTTGAACAGCAAGAATTAACGCAGTCTTCTTGAGTTGAAGTATATATGGGCTCATTGCCTCTGATTCCCTTAGAAAGAGATGACTGGATGTCAATGACAACATCTTCTAGACTCCTGTTGAGGCAGTTCTGACTGGCAGCCAGCCTTAGTGTCAGGAAGCAAATTATTACCAAAGTGTAGGTCAAGCTCCCTTTTCCCCCGAAGAACATTTTAAATTTCAGTTTAGTGTTGGTCTTCAAAGGTCAAGGAGAATCCTCCCTCTGGTCTTAGTTTGCTTTAAGAAGGTTGCACAGATGATGAAATTTCTCTCTAGAACAAAAATGGAAAATCATCAATGAGTTTTGTTTCTTTAACAAACAAGGGAAGAAACACTTCATTTTCTTAAAGTCAACGAAAAGGATCCACATACAATTTAGAGAAGAAACAAGTACTTTTTGTTCCACTTTTAGTAAATTTAAGACAACTTTTCGTTAAACATTTGGCAAATAACTAATAGGCATAAACAAACATACTACCTCATCAATGCTTAAAAGCTGACAATGCTTATGAAGGAACAGGTATAGACAGTAGGCCTGCCTTGGAATTCTACAATCCTTCCCTCTTCTAACTCAGAGCAGAGAGGGCACGTAGTTCTAGTCATTGATGAAGCAGTAGTAACAGGTTTAAGCATATTTCCTTTCTCAGTAATAACAATCAGCATTTTAAAATCATCTACTAGGGGCTAGGCATGGTAGCTCATGCCTGTAATCCCAGCACTTTGGAAGGCTGAGGTGGGTGGATTGCTTGAGCTCAGGAGTTCGAAACCAGCCTGGGCAACATGGTGAAACCCCTTCTCTACTAAAAATACAAAAAGTTAGCTGGGTATGGTGGCGCATGCCTGTGGTTCCAGCAACTTGGGAGGGTGAGGTGGGAGGATCGCTAGAGCCCAGGACATTGAGGCTGCAGTGAGCTGTGATTACACCACTGCACTCCAGCCTGGGTGACAAAGCAAGACCGTGTCTCAAAAAAAACTTAAAAAATAAAAATAGGTGACAGTATACTAAGTGGTAGACATTATACTAAGGAATTTACTACTCTTTTGAATTGTTACTCTTTAATTAATTTATTACCATCTTTAATCTTTATATCAACTGTAATGGCTAATACTGAGTATCAACTTGATTGGACTGAAGGATACAAAGTATCGATCCTGGGTGTGTCTGTGAGCATGTTGCCAAAGGAGATTAACATTTGAGTCAGTGGGCTGGGAAAGGCAGACCCATCCTTAATCTGGGTGTGCACAACCAAATCCACTGCAGTGCAGCTAGAATATAAGCAGGCAGAAAAATGTGAAAAAGAGAGACTGGCCTAGCTTCCCGGGCTATATCTTTTTTTCTTTTTTTTGAGACGGAGTCTCGCTATCGCCAGGCAGGAGTGCAGGGGCGGGATCTTGGCTCACTACCACTTCCGCCTCCTGGTTCAAGTGATTCTCCTGCCTCAGCCTCTCGAGAAGCTGGAACTACAGGCGCCCGCCACCACGCCCGGCTAATTTTTTTGTATTTTTAGTACAGACGGGGTTTCACTGTGTTGGCCAGGATGGTCTTGTTCTCCTGACCATGATCCGCCTGCCTCAGCCTCCAAAAGTCCTGGGATTACAGGTGTGAGCCACCACACCCAGCCCCAGCCTGTATCTTTCTCCTGAGCTGGATGCTTCCTGCCTTCAAACATCAGACTCCCAGTTCTTCAGTTTTGAAACTCCTTGCTCCTCAGCCTGCAGATGGCCTATTGTGGGACCTTGTGATTGTGGGAGTTAATACTTAATAAACTCCTATATATATACACACACACACATACACACGCACACACGTGTGTATATATATATAAATATGTGTGTGTGTATATATATACAGCTCTTCCATTAGTTCTGTCCTTCTAGAGAACCCTAATACAACAACCTTGCAAAAAAGCTATTATTGGCTGGGTGCAGTGGCTCCCACCTGTAATCCCAGCACTTTGGGAGGTCGAGTCGCGTGGGCAGATCACCTGAGATCAGGAGTTTGAGACCAGTCTGGCCAATGTGGTGAAACCCTATCTCTACTAAAATTACAAAAATTAGCTGGGTGTGGTGGCGGGTAGCTGTAATCCCAGCTACTCAGGAGGCTGAGGCAGGAGAATCACCTGAACCCGGGAGTTGGAGGTTGCAGTGAGCCACGATCACGCCACTGCAGTCCAGCCTGGGTGACAACAGCAAAACTCCATCTCAAAAAAAAAAAAAAAAAAAGCTATTATTTTCCTCATTTTATAATGAGGAAACTGAGACAGTCTTTTCTATTGCTGCTTCTCCTTAAGAAGTATCAAACCAGAGTTAGATAACTCTAACAATCTATTCTAGAAATTAGCCAGTCAGCAGAAGGAATACTCTGGCTCAGTTAAAGGAAAGTTTAGGGGTAGATTTTCTTTTTGACAGCCTTAAAAATACAAAAGTCACACTATGTATAATGCCAACTCTATTGAGATGCTGGTTCTTTTAGGAAAAATAAATGTTAAACTGGCAAGACAATATAATAAATTATCCTCACCTATCAACCTCCACATTTGCAGAATACAAATTGTTTGCTGAATGATAGCTTAGAGGAGAATTACTACTTCTTTAACCTTTGTTTATTAACCCCTTTGATAGTCTGAGGAAGCTTTTGCAAGACGTATTTAAAAACGCATAAAATGAAATATGTAGGATTCCAAAAGAAGCCAGTTATATTGAAAGAATGTCCCTACAAAATCCTGGTGAAAGAAATCAAAAAGGAGCTAATAAATAGAGACACATTACATGTTCATGGATAAGACTTTATTTTGTTAAGATATCAGTGCTTCCCAACTTGAGTTACACATTAAACGCAGTCTTAATCAAAAGCCCAAAGTTATTTTTTGGATATCAACCAACTGATTTTAAAATTTACATGGAAATGCAGAAAAGACCTAGAACAGTCCAGAACACTAAAGAACAAAGTTGGAAGACTGATACTACCTGACTTCAACACTTACTGTAAAGCTACAGTAATAAAAAAGTATGGTATTAAAAAAAGAATAGACAAACAGATCAACGGAGTGAAATAGTAAACCCAGAAATAGACCCTCACAAAGACAGTCAACTGATCTTTGACAAAGGAGCAAAGGGGATTCAATGGAGAAAGGACAGTCTTTTCCAAAAACGGTATTGGAACAACTGGATATCCATTTGCACAAATGAATAAATAAGTAAATCTAGCCACATACTTTCCACCTTTTGCAAAATTTAGCTCTAAATGGATCACAGACCTAAATGTAAAATATAAAACTATAAAATTTCTAGAAAATAACAGAAGAAAATCCTTGTGACCTTAGCTTAGGTGATGAGTTTTTAAATACAATACCAAAAGCACACTCCATGAAAGAAAAAAATGATGTTGGACTTCATTAAAATTAAAAACTTCTGCTCTACAAAAGATACTGTTAAAGAGAATGAAAAGATAAACCACAGACTTGGAGGAAATATTTGAGTTTGTTTGTTTGTTTGTTTGTTTTTTGAGGAAATATTTGTGAAACACATATCTGATAAAGCAGTAGTCCATAGCCTTTCTGGCACCAGGGACCAGTTTCATGGAAGACAATTTTTTCATGGATGGGATTGTGGGGGGTATGGTTCAGGATCATTCAAGTGCATTGTATTTATTCTGCACTTTATTTCTATTATCACATTATAATATATAATGAAATAATTATACAACTCACCATAATGTAGAATCAGTGGGAGCCCTGAGCTTGTCTTCCTGCAACTAGACGGTACCATCTGGGGGTGATGGGAGACAGTGACAGATCATCAGGGATTAGATCCTCATAAAGAGTGTGCAGCCTAGATCCCTCACATGCGCAGTTCACAATAGGGTTTGTGCTCTGAAGAGAATCTAAGGCCATCACTGATCTGACAGAGGGCGGAGCTCAGGCGGTAATGCAAGCAATGGGGAGTGGCCGTAAATACAGATGAAGCTTTGCTCTCTGTCCCACTGTTCACCTCCTGCTGTGTGACCCATTTCCTAATAGGTACTGGTCTGTGGCCCAGGGGTTGGGGAACCCTGTAATAAAGGACTGGTATCCAAAACATACAAAGAACTCAAGTCAGCAATAAGAAAACAAACTCAATGGACAAAAGATCTGAGCAGACACCTTACCAAGGAAGAGATACAGATGACAAATAAGCATATGAAAAGATATCTAACATCATATGTCATTAGGGGATTGTAAATTCAAACAAGATAGCACTACCCACCTATGAGAATGGCTAAAATCAAAAAAATTGGACAATACCAAATACAAGGACATAGAGCAACAGAAATTCTTGCCTGGGCGCGGTGGCTCACACCTGTAACCCCAGCACTTTGGGAGGCCAAGGTGGGCGGATCACTTGAGGTCAGGAGTTCGCAATCAGCCTGACCAACATGATGAAACTCTGTCTCTACTAAAAAAAATACAAAAATTATCCAGGTGTGGTGGCAGGTGCCTTTAATCCCAGCTACTTGGGAGGCTGAGGCAGAACAGTCACTTGAACCCGGGACATGGGGGTTGCAGTGAGCCGAGATCGTGCCACTGCACTCCAGCCTGGGCAACAGAGTGAGACCCTATCTCAAAAAAAAAAAAAAAAAAAAAGAAGAAAGAAAGAAATGCTCATTCATTGCTGTTGGGGAATGCAAAATGGTACAGCCACTTTGGGAGAAGTTTGGCAGTTTCTTACCAAGCTAAATTACAATTCAACAATTGTCCTCCCATGTAGTCACTCAAATGAACTGAAAACTTATGTCCACACAAAAATCTGCACTAGAATATTTATAGTAGCTTTATTCATAACTGCCAAAAACTAAAAGTAACCAAGATGCCCGTCAACAGATGAATAAACAAAATGAGATACATCCATACATTGGAATATTATTCAGTAATAAAAATAAATGAACTATCAAGCCACAGAAAGACATGGAGGAATCTTAACTGCATATTCCTAAGTCAAAGAAGCCAGTGTGAAGAGATATGAATCTAACTATATGACATTCTAAAAAAGGCAAACTACAGAGGCAGTAAGAAGGTCAGTGGTCACCAGGAGAACAGGAGTGGGAGGATGAATCAGTGGAGTGCAAGGGATATTTGGGCCATTGAAACTATTCTGTATACTATTGTAATGGAGGATACATGTTATTGAACATCTGTCAAAACCCATAGAAATGTAAAACACACAGAGTGAACATTATGTGAACTATGGACTTTTAGTTTTAAAAAACGGTAAAAAAAAAAAAAAAAAAATCCCAGAAACAAACCAGTATATGGTAATAAAACACAAGTCTAATACCTTTCTTGCTGTTTGTCAACATTCTGTATACAGTAAAATAGTAACATTTATTGCTTCTAAAATGCCAGTTTCTATGCTAAGCACTTTATACATATCATGTTACTTAATCTTTACAGATCCTATGATTATCCTCATTTTAGTTAAAACTTATAAAAAGTTGTGGGACATAATATGTGCTTCTTTATTAACCTATTAAGTAACAAGTGGTCATCTAATAACTGCCATAATTTTGACGTGGTATTAAGTATAAATAATATTTTGAAATATGTGCAACAAGTCATGTGATACAAAAATATCAGCAATATTTACGAGGGGCAAATCACAGCTACTGCTAATACTTTCTACTGTGGCTTTTGCCTACATTCCATTTCAGAAGTCAGTGAAATAATAAATTTTTCCACCCAAGTTCACAGACATCCTGAATTCTATCCATGGATACCTTATCATGGACTCCCCAAGTTAATAATTCTGGCCAAGGTACTTAATACGCTGCCATATTTTGCAAGCCTCTAGAGAATCAAGAGAAAACCAGGCCAATACTTTATTTTGAATGGATTCTAATGTAGCCTCTTTTCAAGAGTTTGCAAAGAAACCTGAACTATGTAAGGAGATGGGGCAAGAGTTGTTTTCAGTATGCAGCACTGAGAGAAGTGTTTAAGAGTTTTCTATCATTAAAGAGAATACCTCAGCAGTATTAGGTTAGTGACGTTTTCTAATCCATTATTATTTAGGCTTTAAGGGCCTGAAGTCGAGTTGAATCTTGTTGAAAGACGGGGGAAAAGGATACAGGTGGGTGAGAGAGGATGCCCCTGAGTTTTAACGCCTTCATACAAGAGTCGCTAAAACTTACTCGCACATAACTAGTTCAAACATTGGAAATCATCTTGCAGCACACTATAATTTACCAAGATGCTTATAACTGTATACACACACACACACACACACTCTACAGCGAATTAGACAATTAGCAGTTTCAATAATGAATACAATACTACAAGAAAACAGGGAACATTTTATCTTCCTTTGAGGAAATGCGTGTTGCCTACTGAGCTATTCTTCTGCCTCTCCTTCTGATGTCAACGCAGAGACAGAGCCATTTATGGCAGGTGCCTTGAGCGCGCCTAGAGGTCGCCTTTGGAATACTGCAGCGACTCAAGGATCCTGCTAAGCCCTTATTGGCCCCAGCTGGTCCTTCGGATGCTCCGGTGTGCATGAAGGAGCCTCGGCCCCTGGAAAGGAGGGGACCAACTCTCTCCGCAGGTGGCGACGTCGCCTGCAGCCGGTCGGGGGTGGGTATTGGGGAGACCCTTTTACCTGGAGGCGAGAGGGCCCCGGGGCCCCTGCTGCCCTCCGGGTGCGAGGACAGCTCTGTCACGCTCGCGGGACGGACCGGCGAATCCGCGCGGGGGTCTCGGCGAGGACCGCAGGGGATGCTCCGCAGCTCCCGCACCGGCCTGGCGGGTTTTGTGGTTAGCAAGTTCCTGCTTCCGTCGCAGCGACGGAAAGTTTACCGCGGGGGAAGGGCACGTTCCTGCCCTGCAACCCGGAGCTGCTTCCCGGCAACATTAGCGCGTCCCTCCCCGCGGAGGCTCCGGGCTCCCGGCCCCAGCGCCGAGCTCCACAGGGAGGTAGCGCCCCCCAGCCCCGCGCTCCCCGCCAGCTCAGCCACACCGCTGACCCCCGGCTGGGCGCGCTGCGAGGAGGAGTGCGTGCCTCCCTGCTGGTGGCCCGAGGGTCTGCAGGTGAGCCTTGCCTGGCGGAGGCCGGAGCCCGCGCAAACTAAAATTAATTGCACGTGGGGAAAACGTCAAACAGTACAAAAATATACACAGTGACAAGTCTACCCCTCACCCCCGCACCCCAGTCTCCTAATCTCCCTCTGCAGAGGCAACCACTGATAGCAGTTGTTTGATGTTCAAGAGCTTACGGTGCATCCTATTGGCATAGTTCTGAGAATCCTCTTTCCATAATGGGAGGATGGAATCCTCAGTTAAAGATGACAATTCTTGAGTTAAATATTATGTTCCACACACACTTCAGCGAAGGTATTTGGCTTTCTGCAGGATTTATTGTTTGTAGATAGGATAATAATGGTGAAAATGCTGGTGTCTGTAACATATATTAAAACTGTATACCTAACACTTAGCATAGTGCCTGGTACACAATAGGCACTCAGTAAATATTTAACTAAAATATTTTTGTTGACTGAATGAATGGAAAACAACTGCATAGGGCATAGGTTGTGGAAGTTTCTAAATTACTGCTGGCTCCATCCCCACCTCCATAAACACACACATGCAACATTACTAAACCATTGACACTTAGTTTGTCATATGGTCTAACCTTTGACAGTATCTTCACCTCTGTTTTGAAAGAGCTTGCAGACCTGAAGTGCTATGCGGTTGCAAGTAAGTCTAGGCCTGTACACCCAACAGCTACACCCTAGTCTTAACCAATAACTACAGGAGGATTATGTTGACTGAGAATGCTTGTGAACAAAGGTCCATTGTGTGGAACTAACTCTACTTGTAACCAAAAGATGACTCTTGAATTACAATGTTGTTAAAGCTAGGTTTGAAAGTTACCAAAGAGAAGGAAACTCCAGAGTAATTTCCCATTGCAGTGATTTTCCTGATGCAACAAGGGACTGATATGCAAGGGTGTTTTATCTGTACAGATGATATACACTTCAGGGTTCAGGGTGTAGAGCTATCAGTTTTTGAATCTCTCTACGTGGGGTAATCCATGCTAGTTACTAAGTAGACCTTTCCATTATTAGAAACTTCATATTCAGTGCTTTAATACAATGAACCTGTTTTTTTTCCTTTGTTTTGTGTTTTGTTTGTTTTTAAGAGACAGAGTCTCGGAGTCTCGCTCTGTTGCCCAGGCTGGAGTGCAGCGATCTCGGCTCACTGCAACCTCTGCCTCCCTGGTTACAGTAATTCTTCTGCCTCAGACTCCCGAATAGCTGGGACTACAGGCACATGCCGCCACACCTGGCTAATTTTTTTCTATTTTAGTAGAGACGGGGTTTCATCGTGTTGCCCAGGCTGGTCTCAAACTCCTGAGTTCAGGCAATCTGTCCGCCTTGGCCTCCCAAAGTGCTAGGATTACAGGCTTGAGCCACCGAGCCGGCCTGACCCTGTTTTCATTGAAGTGATATGTTATTTTTTCAGGTATGACAGTGAACAAAGGATACTGATTAAAATAATGATTAAAGAAATATTTTCTATTGATATGTGTTTAATTTATAAATATCATTGATTTACTTATTCATTCATTTTTTGAGACAGGGTCTCGCTCTGTTGCCCACACTGGAGTGCAATGGCACAATCACCGCTCACTGCAGCTTTGACCACCTGGGCTCAAGTGATTCTTTTGCCTCAGTCTCTTGAGTAGCTGGGACCACAGATGCACACCACCACACCCAGCTACTGTTCTTAATTTTTTTTTTTTTTTTTTTAATTTTGAGATGGAATCTCGCTCTGTTGCCCAGGTTGGAGTGCAGTGGCACAATCTCAGTTCACTGCAACCTCCGCCTCTCAGGTTCAAGCAATTTTCCTGCTTCAGTCTCCTGAGTAGCTGAGATTACAGGCTCATGCCACCAAGCCCAGCTAATTTTTGTATTTTTAGTAGAGTCAGGGTTTCACCGTGTTGGTCAGGCTGGTCTTGAACTCCTGACATCAAGTGATCTGCCCACCTTGGCCTCCCAAAGTGCTGGGATTACAGGTGTGACCCACCATACCCGGTGTTTTAAATTATTTGTATAGATGAGGTCTCGCTATATTGCCTTTGCTAGTCTCAAACTCCTGGGGTCAAGCAACCCTCCTGCTTTGGCCTCCCAAGGTGCTGGGATTACAGGTGTGAGCCACTGCACCTGGATTACTTAAAAAAATAAAATAAAAAACCTTTAATTTCTGGCCTGAGTCATAACTTAGAAATTATATCCATTGTCACTTCACTTCCTGAAGAGATTCCTGATACTCTTCTCTGAGGGTTAGAAGTCCCATCTATGTGGAGTTTAGATTTTTTTAAAAAGTAATCAGAAAACATGTATTACGCACCTGCAGGGGAAATTAAAGACCAATAATATCAATGGGATCTACCTTCAAGATGTTCATAGCTCAGAAGGAGAAAGAGTCAAGTAAATCAACGGCTGTGTAAACAATAAGTGTGATGAAGGCCAGGTGTAGTGGCTCACGCCTGTAATCCCAGCACTTTGGGAAGCCAAGGCAGGAGGATCACTTAAGCCCAGGAGTTTGAGGCCAGCCTGAGCCAACATAGCAAGACTCCATCTCTACAAAAAATAAAAATTGGCCTGGTGTGGTGGTACACGCCTGTAGTTTCAGCTACTTGGGAGGCTGAGGCAGGAGGCTCACCTAAGAGCCTAGGAGGTAGAGGCTGTAGTGAGCCATGATAGCACCACTGCTCTCCAGCCTGGGCACCAGAGTGAGACCCTGTCCCTGCCCTCTCCAAGAAAAGAATAAATGTTATAATAGAAGATGGCAACTAAAAAGGCTCAGAGAAGGGACATCTGATCCCAATTTCTGGGAGGAGGTGTTAGTTAATTATTGAAGAATGAAGTTATTAGCAGATGAGGAGGAAAAGGCTGAATATTTCAGGAAGAGGAAATTGCATGACCACAGCAAATTCAGCCTGTTAGGAAGGTTACCAGTGTACACAGAACAGAGAGAGAGGCTGGGGTCAGAGCAGGAAGGTTTTCATGTTAAATCTTAAACTTTATCCTAAAGGCATGGGGAGTTCTGAAAGTTTTTTGCAGGGCAGTGACAGGTCCAGAGACCTAATTAATATTCTAGAAAATTCTCTCTACCTGCCACAGGAGGGATGGATTGAAGGATGTGAGGCCAGAGGCCTCTCTTCCAAGAAATGGAAGTGATAAGGCCCTGAAATGGGCATGGAGATAGAGGAGAAATTAACAGAGAGGCTCTCCAGGATGCAACAATTGGTTGGAGGTGGTGCTGACAGTAAGCAGGCTTCTGGCTTGGGAGCCTGGTTGGATAGGAGTACCAGGTCATATAAAGACATGGGAAGAGGAGTCAGTCTGGAGTGGACAGACACATGATGAGTTTTGAAAACATGAGTCCTGGTTTTATAACTTACTAGTTGTGTGACCAAGAATAAATCACTTAACTTTTCTGTAAAATTAGGGAAGTGTTATCTACTTTATACACAGATCATAATATAGACCTTTTTATGTAGGTCTAACATATAGACCTGTAGACCTGTAAACTCAAAAAGGTTGTTCAATTGCTAGTTATTACATATACAACAACATAGTCTGCTGCTCACGTAGAAGGGATTTAAAAGGTGCTAAAAGACATCAATCTCAAATGTTTCCTAGCTATAAAGCTCTTCCGGCAGACTCCTTATGTTATATAAATGCTCATTTGATTTTCTTGCCACCAGACTGTAAGTACAGGGGCTGGGCCTTGTTGAATTTTTTATTCTTAGTGTGTAGCAAGTGCCTAGAACATTTCAGGTTCCCAAGAAATGTTAAGCCAGTGAAGAAAGGAATTTTATCTTCATATGTTCTTTTTCTGAATATAGCTTTATGGATATAGAATTTGCATACCATACAATTTACCCTGGTAAAGCGTACTCTACGGTGGTTTTTAATATATTCAGAGTTGTGCACTCATCATTACAATTCTAGAACATTTTCATCAACCCCAGAAAGAAACTCCATACCTAGTAATAGTCAGTCTACATTTCCCTTCCACCTACCCCTCCTTGGCCTTAGGCAACACTAATATATTTCTCTCTCTGTAGTGCTTCTCCTGGACATTTCATATAAATGGAATCTACAATATGTGGTCTTTTGTGACAGGCCTTTTTCATATTGAATAATGTTGTCAAGGTTACTCTGTGTTGTAGCATGTATCAGTATTTCATCCTTCCCTTATTTTGGCTGAATAAATATTCCATTACACGGATATACCATACTTTATCTATTCATCAGTTGATGGGATAGAAGATCTTTTTAAGAATGAAATGTTTACCCAAAAGAAAGCATAAAAAACACCATTACATCAGTATGGACTGGTGTATGGAACACAAGGCAAATATACTTTTATGTGGAAAGGGGGAAACAAGAGCCAGAATGAGTTATTCTCCATTCCTCACCCCTTTTACCTCTTCTCTCACCTAACCCTCAAAGAGGAAATCTGGGAGGCGAAGCAAGGACTCTCCAAAAGGCAATGGTCTCACTGCTTAGTGGGCCCTTCCCAGTCCCATCAGCCTGGTGTGGTTTATGTAAACCTCAGGACTAGTCAGACACAACCTTCTAGAAGCCTGCCCTGATCTCTCAGGCAGTTTTTCGTTCTATTTTCATATTCCCAGAGACCACTGTACTTAGATTCATTTGCATTTTTCTCATTGTATTGCAATGGTGAGGAAAGAGCATCAGACAGTCCTAAATAGTTCCACCACTTACCACCTGCTGACCATGGAGGAGTCACCTACTTACTGGCTGCAGGGTTGTTGTGAAAATTAAATAAGGTAAAATAGGGGAAATTATTGTGATATAGTAGAGTGGAAGGGACTTAAAAATCATTTAGTCTACTTGACACTTCTTCCGAGACTGTATTTTATGCATATAAAATCTCAAGGCATTTACTTGAAAAAAAATTTTTTTTTTTAAAGAGACGGAATCTCGCTCTGTAGCCCAGTCTGTAGTGCAGTGGCGCGATCTCGGCTCACTGCAAGCTCCGCCTTCCAAGTTCATGCCATTCTCCTGCCTCAGCCTCCCGAGTAGCTGGGACTACAGGCGCCCGCCATCACGTCCGTCTAAATTTTTTGGTATTTTTAGTAGAGACGGGGTTTCGCCATGTTAGCCAGGATGGTCTCTATCTCCTGACCTCGTGATCCGCCCGCCTCGGCCTCCCAAAATGCTGGGATTACAGGCGTGAGCCACCGCGTCCGGCCTACTTGAAATTTCTTGACGCAAACAACGTAATATAAAATGAGTTGCAAAGTTCGGAGAACTCCAGAGCCAGCTAACTCCTTGATGGCATTGCATTGCTAGGTCTACTTCCTTGCCCTGGTAAAAGTGGCAGTTTCCTTTCTGGATTACTCCCTCCTCACCTTTTGTTAGTTTCAGAGTGACTTGTTGATAACTGTCAAGGTCCCCAGAAAGCGCCTAGCCAAAAAGGTTCTTCACTTCTCTTTAAAGATGTGCACTCCCTAATACGTGAATCAGCACTTTCTATTTCTTAATTTTTCTCTCATTTCCAGCTGCTGCCTTCACCGCCTTCTGGTACTTTTTTGTTTGATCGTCCACTGCTAAACTCCCAGCTCTTCAGAATTAAAAATGAACTTTGCATCCACGCTGTTGTGGGTTCGAATCCTGGCTCTATCTAGCGTCTTTTTCTCCATCTGTAAAACGGGGTTAAAAATATCTTGTTTGTAAAGTTGTTCTCACATGTGGGTATTGAAGCGCTTAATAGCGTGGGTGGTGTTTGCAAGGCGACGCAACAGTAAAGGGCTTACCCTTTTCGGCAGTTCTGGCTTGAAGGAGCTCAGGCCCTTTAAGGTGGCGTCGCCCTAAGTCGCAGGAGGGGGTCTCTCCGCCCCTCCCTCGGGCCGGGGGCGGGGCCTCCTAACCCGGAACTGACGGTCGGGCGTAGCCGGCACCGCCCATCTGCATCCCGGAAGGAGCGAGCTTGCGGCGCGTGAACCAGTGAGTGAAAGCGGCGCCGCCCGCCGGCCGCAGGTGCGGCAAAGCCAGTGTCATCTGCAGGTTCTCTTAGGGCTCCCGGAAAGAAGGAGGGCGAGCCGGGTGCATTCGCGCCGCGCCTCCTTGCGTTTCTGTTCCCCAAATAGGGCCTCTCCCCCCGCCGCCCAGGCCCCTGCGTGGGCTGGACGCGTCAGCCCCACACATTAGCCTCGCTGCGCCGCCTAGACTCTGCCTTGCCTCCCCGTCCCGGTCCCTGGCCCCTGCCCTGTCGCCCGCCGCCGGAGCGGTGACCGCCTGGCTCGCCGTTCTTCTGCTGCCACCGCTGCCGGCATCATGGGCAGTGAGCAGAGCTCCGAGGCCGAGAGCCGACCCAACGATCTGAACTCCTCAGGTCGGTGTCCTAACCCACCCCCCTCCAGCCCGCCATGTCTGCTTGCAGAGCGGGCTGCCTCCCAGACTAGTGGGGTCTGGGACTGCGGACGGGAACGCACAGAAAAAGCCCTACCATGTTACTAGGGAAAAAAAAAAAGTCACCATCTGTCCTGGCCTCGATTCCCCTGATGGAAGTGCCTGTGACTGCAAGCTAAGCCAGCGTGGGCGCCGGTGCCCATTATTTATTTTCAAAACAGCCGTTTCTCCCAGCTACAGCCTACTGTTTAAAAGACGACCTAATTAATTTTTGGCTCTAGTGCTCATGGCTGATGTAGTGAGATTTGGCTCACACAGTGGATGGATTATAGGACCTCTGAGAACAGGCTGTTTCTTAAAAACCGGTGTTAGAGGTTCCTTTTCTGAAGGGATATGTGATAGGTGTCCACTTATTTGAACTCTTGAGTGCAGAGGTCTCCAGAAACAGCTTTTTCTTCTCAGAAGGTGTCTTGGTCCTTTTCTAATCTTATAGAGGTTGACCAGACAGCAGGCTCTGGTGTTTTCCATTGTTGTTCCCTGTCCATGAATTTTAGATTCCTCTAAGCGTTTGAGACAAGAATGGGAGGATTATTGTGTTTGCGATACAGTGAGTGTTCAATACATAAAACAGCTGATGTTTAATTGAGGACCATTTGCTGCTTTTTTTTGTTACCCACGCAGCCCAGGACAGCTGGGAGTGCTTTGGCTAAGCTCCGGGGTTGCTAATGCAAATTGGTTAATCCGGGTCCTAAAAAGAGTCCCCGATTTTAGAAGTTCTCTGTTCTTGATAGGATTTGTAATTCATAAATAGGCAAACTAATAGATCTAAGGGTGTTTCACTTTGAAGTGTGACCTTCAAGACTAGTTCAGACCTACATTCTGGGGGACTGGATTGGGGCAGCTTTGAATGATGGGCAGCGTCTACTAGCTTTGCTACGTTTTTCTATTTCCTTGGAAGGCCCAGAGTGTCATATTTGTTGTAAGAAATATAATCATTGTGACATCTGACATTCTTGCCTCTATGGCAGGGCAGAAACATATTTTGGGGGGAAGCGGTGTGGCATCTTTTTAATATGCTTGCTTGCCCATGAACCAACAGCATTTGCGCATTTCCGATGTTAGAATTTGCCTATTCCCCCGGGCGCGGTGGCTCCAGCCTGTAATCCCAGCACTTTGGGAGGCCGAGACGGGCGGATCAGGAGGTCAGGAGATCGAGACCATCCTGGCTAATACGGTGAAACCCCGTCTCTACT